CAGCAAACGACACAGCACACACCACACAACAGCACAACACACACAGCACAAAGACTTCACACACACGAACACACACACACACACACACACACACACACACACACACACACACACCACACACACACACACACACACACACACAGCACACAGCACACCACACATGGCACACACACACAAAACCACACACACACATCACAACACACACACCACACAGCACACACAACACCACACACACGAAACACACACACACACACAGTACGGCCACACAGCACACACACACACACACACACAAGCACCACACACACTGCACACACACAATCACACACACATCACACGCACCACTACAACACACGGCACACATCACCACACACACACACAGCACACACACACACAAGCACACACACACAACCAGCACACCCACACACACCATCACACACGACACACACCCCACACAGCTACACACACATTCACACACACATACACACACACACACACACACACACACACAGCACAGCACAACACACACACACACACCCACACACACACACCACACACAACCACACTGACACACAAAAGCCACACACGACCGACACACACACAGGCACACACACACGACACACACACACACACACAAAGCACACACACACACAACACACACACACAGCAACACCCACGACAGCAACCACACACGCACACGCACCACACACACACAGCCACAGGCACACAGTCGCACACACACACACACACACACACAACACGACACACCAACACACACACACACACACACACAGGTCCACACTGGTCACAACAACACACACAGCACACCACAGCACACACTCACACGACACAACACCAGGCACACGACACACACACGGGGAACACGCAGCGACACGGCACACAATCAACCTATCATCCAACTACACCAGCTATATGCGTACTCGTAGCAAACGCTAAGGCGTGCTAAAGCAACTGAAAGCATAACTGTGTGCGACCACACAACACACCAAGTAAGCAGCACTACTAACTAAACACGCACGCTCACCGATGAAGGAGATGGTATGATAGACACGCACACACAGCAACACAGGTCACTCGCGCGACGCACGCACACCACGAACCCGCGCAGCACACACTACACACACACAAGTACACTACTACTAAACACGGGCACGCACGCAGCGCACGCCACGACACGCAGAACGATCGACCACGGTCACGCACAACAAGTACAAACTACTCACTATAACACGCACGCGACGCAGCCACCACAACACACAGCGCACACACGCACGCAGCGACAACAGACACAGCACAACACACTCAACGCACGGCGGGCACGAGCACACAAATACACTACTACGTAAAACAGCAGCCACACGACAGCACGCACTCACGCGAACGCCCGACCACGCTACAGGCAACGAGCACACACACACACACACCACGCTGACTGTGAGAAACAGACCTTCGTCACTGGTAATAAATGATCAGCAAACAACTCGCTCGCATCTCGTTTGAGAGCCACTAGGGGGCGCTTTAAGCTACCCGAATAACAATCATGCTCGCTCCTAGCAGCGGCGACAACGGCTAGCGTATGTACAAAACACAATAGATGACGAACAATCGCTACACTGCAGAGGGCGCGCTAAATCCGACTCGCCCCATGTCCTCCATCCGGCGGGCACACCAGGCGGCACTCCACCGGCGCCCCCTGCGGACCGAACCTCCCTACAGCGGGCGGTTTCCTCGCGCAGGGCCGTCGCCACAGCAGCCGTCGATGATCGACGAGCTTGAGCGTCTCGACGGCTGTCCAATGAGACGACGGATCGCTGACGTCGGCTGCTGATTGGCATGCGGGATGCCCCTGCCTTGAGGCGGAAGAGGTAGGCGGCGGACGCGGCTCGCGTTGTTGGGGCGATGCGGACAGCTCCATTCAGATCCTTCACAGCATCGTCGCAGGTTACTGAATACACGATAATTATATAGATTAGATATATATATCTTGTAATATATCAGTATATATATATATATATATATAATTGAAAAGAAAAAAAAAATAAAATAATTAAAAAAAAAAAATATTATATATATATATATATATATATAGGCAAGAAGTACTTGCTATCAGACAGAGAAAAAAGCAGACAAAATTAAACGTGCGCAACGGCTATATATATGGTGCATTTTACTTGTTTAGGAATTTAGTATATTAATAATTTTCTTGCAGTAAGTATATGCTGGCAGATGTTGAGAGCAGGCAGGCAAACTGTGTAGGCAGCAACAAACTTTCTGCTTGCTGCTCTTAATTTCGAACCCTCGATTACATAACTGTTTTGCGATTAAACCGGCAGCATTTTCGCATGATGAAGTTTTTGAAAGTCGGTGGCTAGGTCATTAGTTAACTTAATAGTTTAATTAAGTTAAAAATTCAAGACTGGTCGCGCTGCTCACACCTTCGTCTCTGTTGGCTGCGTGGCGCGGTGCGTAGAATCGGCTTCGTAGACTTGGTTCATTTCCAGAGCTTTTACTGCGGGGCAGGCTCCAGCAGCCAGCTTGGCGGCTCCTGCAACACCAGACACGGACAGTTAAACCACTGGCTAACACCATGGGCTACCGGCAGAAAACAGCACGCTTTCTCATGCAGAATAAACGCGCAGTTTCCTCCTGCCTGTGCGAGAGCGCATTATGCTATTAATTTATAATATTCTATATTGTTATATATATATATGTATCTTTAACAATAATAGATTTAGTATAATACTAGTAAAAATAAACTTACGAGTTTTATAAATTCTAATATACGAAACATACGAATATGTAATATACGAATATATACAAAATTCTAATATAGTTTAATATAAAAATTTTATAAATTCTAATATACGAAATTCATTGAGCGGCGCCATATATGCATCAAGAGAAGAAAGAAGGTAGAGAGAAGGTAAAGGTCGAAGAGAGAAGGTAGCTTACGTTTAGTTTTCCTCTTGCACCGGACAGGTTGAGAAAACAGGTTGAGTTTGAAGTTCCTTGAACGTCTTCCACGTCGTCGCCGAAATCATCGCGGGGAAACTTCCTTCAGCGCGTAACTGGTAGCAGAATAAGAGCAGCGCTCC